CAAATCATGATCATATGATCATAGGACATTGCAATTGATTATAAACATGAGCCGGTTGCAAATTGAGATTACTTGATCCTGAAAGAGAGGGTGGAGGGAGAGAGAAATAGACAGTCATAAATGCAAGTATAGGTCCTAAGTTCCTTTTTCAAGACTGCCATAACTTTGAACCATGGTTGGATGGTTGTAACTTTTGAGCGAGACCATTGTTAAATGAGTTTTTGCCCCATTTTACAACCTTTCTTGCCACTTCAGTTAAGTGAACCGCTGCAGTGGTTAAGTTAGTAACACGGTTGTAAAGTGAATCTGGCTTTCCCATTGACTTCCTTATCAGAAGGTGGCAAAAGGGGTTCACGCATGACCCTGGGATGCTGCAACTGTCATAAATACAAGCCAGTTGCCAAAACGACTGGATTTTGATCATGTGGGGATGCTGCAATGGTCATAAGTGTGAAAATAAATCATAAATTGCTTTTTTCAGTGCCGTTGTAACTTCGAATGGTCACTAAATGAGAGATTGTAAGTTGAGGACTACCTGTACTGTCTCTGATTGACGTCTTTCAGCACTGAGCCATGCCACTGTCATATCTCCCAGTCCCAGCTCTTATCATTCTTCCCTGGCTCCTGGTTTTCATCCTTCATAACTGTCTGTGATCCATTGCTCTTCAATCTTGGCCTCGGTTCTCCTGAAGTTGTTCCCGTCTTTGGTCTCCCCTTTGTTTCTCACCTTCTCTCCAATATCTGGCGTGACCCTCAGGAGGGACTCAAAGCTTGGTGGTTTCTGAGCAAGCAGGAATGCTAGTTCAGAATTTATACCCAGTCAGATCAGACTTCTTCATGCTGTCTTGCAACATTCCCCTTGTGGAAGAAGGCGCCTCTGTATCCTCTTATCTCCAGCCTTTGGAGTGTCAGTAAATGACAGCTGCTTGTTTACATCCTCCGCTTCCCTCCTCAGATCAGTATGAAGCTGAGATCTTCAGCATCTGATGGAGCCCAAACGACTCCTGTCTCCTGGGTTGGTGTCCAATGGAGCCCAGGGCATTGTGCGCAGCTCTTTCTCCTCCCGTATTTCCTTACTTATCCCATCTCACGAAAGTGGAGAGGTTAAAGATTGCCATCCAATGGCCTTTGACATGAGTGTCTCTGCTTCTGTCAGGCATGAACAATCAGATCCACACGTGAAGAGTTCAACTAGCTATTTTATTGCTCAAGCCTATATAAGATAGGAATTGTCTCAAGCTGGCGGTTTGTACCTGGCTGAAACAAGGTTGCATTTAAGGGAAGGGGGATGTTAGACTTTGCCTCTTATGCCCATGTAGGGATTCTAGACTAATTGCGTGTTTGACTCCTTCCCCTGGCTGAGCCAATCTCTCTCTGATAGTTTCTTCACCGCTAATCACTTGGACTGAGAGGGAGGAATTGAACTAGAGCCATTCCTCTTCAATTGCTGAATGGGGATCAGAATCCGGGGGTCTTCCCCTCCAGTCCACCCCCTTTCCCACTGGACTACAGTGATTTTGGCTGTGTCCTTGTAATGCCTATTGGTAGCTCAGATCATTCTGACTATCCAGGGTCCCTGTTTTCATCCAAACGCCTTTTTGGGGAGGCGATGGGATCTTTGGTCTCTATGGGCTTCAACAGCCAGGAGCTTCTTGTGCCCTGTATATTCTAGAAGGTCTCACTTCTAGAATATAATTCTGGCAAATATTTTAGCAAACTAGGACTCTAGAGGACTGAGTCACTTATGATAAGCCAAATTATCAAGGAGAGATCCAATCTAGAACGAAGGAGAAATTTCCTAAGAGTAACAACAATTAATCAATGGAACAACTTGCTTCCAGAAGTTGTGGGTGTTTCACAGGGGTGGGATTCAAAACTTTTTACTACTGGTTCTGTGGGCGTGGCTTGGTGGGTATGGCATGGCTTGGTGGGTGTGGCAGGGGAAGGATACTGTAAAATCTCCATTCCATCCCCACTCCAGGGGAAGGTTACTGCAAAATCCCCATTTCTTCCTGATCAGCTGGGACTCGGGAAGCAGAGTATAGATGGGAGTGGGGCCAGTCAGAGGTGGCAGTTACCGGTTCTCCGAACTACTCAAAATTTCCGCTACCGGTTCTCTAGAACTGGTCAGAACCTGCTGAATACCACCTCTAGTGTTTCATCACTGGAGGTTTTCAAGAAGACACTAGACAGCCATTTGTCTGAAATGGCATAGGATCTTCTGCTTGATCAGGGGGTTGGACTAGAAGACCTCTGAGGTCCCTTCAAACTCTGTTATTCTGTATTCTGAATCATGCCATTAAGAAAATCCACTTTCCCCCATTGACTTTGTTTGCTGGAAGCTGGTTGGGACAATCACAAATGGCAATCACATGACCCCAGGACCAGGGGTGAAATCCAACAGGTTCTGTCAGGTTCTGGAGAACTGGTAGCGGAAATTTTGAGTAGTTTGGAGAACCGGCAAATACCACCTCTGGCTGGGTCCAGAGTGGGGTGGGAATGGAGATTTTGTAATATCCTTCCCCCAGGAGTGGGGAGGGAATGGGGATTTTGCAGTATCCTTCCCCTGCCACGCCCACCAAGCCACACCACCAAGCCACACCCACAGAACTGGTAGAAATAAAATTTGGATTTCACCACTGCCCAGGACACTGCAACTAGAGTGTATTGTACATGCAGGTTGCCAAGCGCCTGAATTTTGATTATGTAACCAATGGGATGTTGCTACGGTCATAAGTGTGAGCACCAGTTTTAAGTCACTTTTTTCATTGACGTAACTTTGAACGGTTGCTAAATGAATGGTTTTAAGCCGAGGACTAATTTAATTTAATTAATTTAATTAATCATATTTCTATGCCGCCCAACTCCCAAGGGACTACCTGTAGATACACTGGTGCTTCCAGCATTTCTAACCAGCTTGAAATCCAGGCCTTCCTAACAGTTCTTGCTGTGTATTACAAGCCTAAAATATCTGGAGGACGACAAATTATGTGAAAAGTTGTCCTAAATATGTAAAAAGGAGAAAAGTTGCAGGTCAGCTGTTCTTGTCCCACTATGCTGGAATATCTGAGCATACAAAATTATGGGAGCGGAGAAGGTCAAGAATATTTAGGAATGACCTATAAAATACCTGCTCCTAATGGAGGAGAAAAAAAATAGTAGAAAGAGAAATCGAGGCGAAAGACGGAGGGAGGGAGAATGGGGAGAAAAACAGTCACTTTCTTGTTTGCAAACCAAGCCAGCTGTGTCCTCTGTTTAAACATATTTATCTATTTTTTGTGGATAAAACAGCAAGCTTGGAGGTGGCCGAGATGAAACGGAAAAATAGTCATTATCCTTGACCATCTCTCTCTTTCTCTCTCCCTCTCTGGAACATAACAGGACAGCAGAAGGACATGAGATAAAGTCAATGTATTCTACTTGCCTAACAAGAAAACAAGAAAAAAGAAAAGAGGGCCACTCCGTTTGAAAGGAGTCACTGCCAGCGAGAAAACACTGAGAAAGGCTGGCATCGTTACAGAGAGGAGAAAAATATTCTGCATTTCCTAAGGCGCCTGGGTGTTGAGAGGGTTTCTCTCTCTCTCTGTGTGTGTGTGTGTGTTATATGTGATCCAAAATTTGGCTATGAGCCACAGAATTTGGACAGTGATTTTCTTTGAAATGGAAATACAGGTGATCCTTGATTTACAACAGTTTGTTTAGCAACCATTTGAAGTTACAACAGCACTAAAAAAATGACTTATGACCATTTTTCACCAGCGGTGGGTTCCTCCCGGTTCGGTCCGGTTCGGCCGAGCCGGTAGCAGTGACTATATGACGTCACCGAACCGGTTCTCCCCCCCTGCCCTCCCACCCCCTCACCCCCCCACGTTATTCTTACCTTTTATTTGGTCCCACCCCCAATCTGTTGCTGCCTTCTGAGTCCCAGCTGATGACTAAAGGGAAAAAAACTGTTTAAACTCTTGCCGCGGGGCTTCAAAGGGCCGTCCTACAGCTGATCAGTGTTAAAAGCAAACAAATGAGTCAGGTCGTAAGTGTGAGGACTGATTGTAAGTGCGAGGACCTTCCAGAAATTACTCTGACCACCTAGCCATGCCCACCTAGTCACATGATCTCCAAGCCACACCCACAAAATAAGCCACGCCCACAGAACTGGTAGTAAAAAAATTTAGAACCCACCCCTGTTTTTCAGACTTATGACCATTGCAGCATCCCCATTCATACATTCAGGTGCTTGACAACTGGTTCTTATTTATGATGGTTGCAGTGTCCCGTGATCATATGATCCTCTTTTTTGTGACTTTCTTACAAGCAAAGTCAACTGGGAAGCCAGATTCACTTGACAACCGTACTACTAACTTAACAACTGCAGTGATTCACTTAACAAATGTGGCAAGAAAAGTCATAAAATGGAGCAAAACTCAATTAACAAATTTCTTACTTAGCAATGTAAATTTTGGGCTCATTTGGGGTAATAAGTCGAGGACTACCTGTATACATTTTCTGTTTCATTCCACCAGTCAGACCTCATGAACAAGTCGCATTTTCGGCCAGTTGCAGCATCCTATGATCACGTGATCATGATTGGTGACCTTTTGAGAAGCTGAATTCATTTAACGGCCATAATAAAACAGATTGTAACACTGGGTCTAGTCATGTAAAGACTTATTAGCACCCTGACTTATTATGGAGGCTTTGCTCCCAATTGTTATAAATCCCGGGATACTGCAACTGTCATAAATATGAACCAGTTGCCAAGCATCCAAATTTTGATCATGTGACTATGGGGATGCTGCAACGGTCGTAAGTGTGAAAAACAGTCATAAGTCACTTTTTTCAGTTCTGTTGTAACTTTGAATTGTCACTAAAGGAGTGATCATAAGTGGAGGACTACCTGTAGTTTACCCAGGTTGGGTAAACTAGCACTGGTTTAGGAAATCCACCCCCCCCCCACCCCCACTTGTACTTTCCTTCCAAGTCCTGATGCAGTAAAAATAATATTTATGGACATTGAAAGAGAAATTTACTAGATGAGGAATTTTCCAATCCACATTACATTTTGGCCATCATCTTGACACTCTACAGTTGATATTCATGATAGGTTTTGACTAATTTGGCTACTGTCAAGGGAATAGGAAGAAACAGAAAAGGAACAGGCCCAAGGCAGACTCATCGAGGTAGTGGGAAGAGAGATGATGGTACGTAGGTAACATTGCGGGACTGGGCCAGCTGTTTTGCTATGTCCTCAGCTGCCTCAAGTTTGCGCAGTTCCACAAGACCTTCCCCTGCGGAAGCCAGGGAGTTGGCAATCAGCTCTGCAGCTTTGGAATCTCCTTCGGCCATGATGATAATGGCTTTCTTCTGGTACTCAGCTTTTTCCACAAAGAACCTCGCCTTTTCTGCTTCCTGCTGTGCCACTTGCTTCATTTCTACCGCATCCAAGAAGTCCTTGCTGAACGTCAGATGAGTCAACGAAACGTCATCCAGAGTGATGCCAAAGCTAGCTGCCCGTTCCGACAGGTCTTCATTCACCTGTCTGGAAACTAACTCTCTCTGTGTGATCAGTTCCTCTGCATCAAAGCGAGCCACCACCGATTTGAGCACCTCTGTCGTGATGGAAGGTAGCACTCGGTCGTCATAGTCTTCACCGATCGTTGTGTAAATCCGAGGGAGCTGCATTATCACCGGCCGGAACAAGATCCGGAGTGTAATATTCACGTTCTGGAGATCTTTGCTCCCCGTGGTTACAGGGACATTGTGAGGGCGAGAACGGCAGTCGAAAATTATGGGCTTCTGCAGCCAGGGGATGAGAAAATGAGTCCCTTCTCCTATCACCTCATCCTGAACACCCAGATATCGATCAAAGATGACCGCCCGGTGACCTGCATCCACGTTATAAAGAATAGAGTTGACCACTCCACCAGCAAATGCTAAGCCCAAACTAAGTTTGCCAATGTTCTCAAAGATCTTAGCAGCCATTGGGGGCAGCTGATGTCTCTCTTCTCTATGTCCAAGGAAACCGTCCCAGTATCAATGCACATGGCCAAAATCCTTGCTGGATTCTGGGTGGACCTGGTGTTTCTTCTAGATATTGGATGGACCTGGTGTTTCTTCTAACCACTTTCAATGACTGGGTGCAAATGAATGTCCCCTCCCAGACACGTGTCTTGTTTTTCAAGTTTGGGAGATGACAATCCTGGAATCCCATCAAGGATGCGATCTCCACCATCACTGTTTCATCCTGACCAGATCCAAGGCCTCTTAACATCACCAAGGCCTCTTTTGTGACATGGCCCACTCTGACTTTTTACCTTGGAGAAAGTAGACATTATATTTGAGTGGGTTTAAGAGCTGACATCATTTCTACAAAGGCTCCTTGTCCAGTTGCTGGGATTGTGGTTCATGTCCACAAAAGGTAGGATGGGAGCAGAGAGAAAAAATCTGGGCAAGTCCAGGACAAAAATCTCAATGCAGGCAGGCTTTCTGATTAACAAAAGCTAGGCTTTTTAAGCTGGGTTTTAGTCATTTTGTAAACTACAATCGAAGAGAGCGACTCTGAATGCCCTCTGGATAAAAAAAGTGGAGTATCAGTCACTTTAAAAAATGAAAATGCTTGAGCTTAAATTTGAATTGAATTTAAATCAAAATAATTAAATGAAGGGAATATGATCATTCCTCACTCAGGGGATAATTTTGTCCCTTTTTGTCACATTGAAAAAGAATAACAGGAGACAATTTTAGGACTTCCTGGAGCTGCAGTTAAGGCCAACTGAAGCTTCAGGGTGGATCATCTTATCCTTATCTCGTGTGATATCAATTCATCATATCACCTAATGAGGTCAGTACCTTTCTCCCCGCAGCTCTTGACATCAGAGCTTTGTTTTGAAACATTGCCGGACCTTCCTTTTCCTATTTTAGATTTAGCAATGCAGGAAATACAGAGTTTACTTTGCCAGTCCTGCAATATCTCCAAGCCCTTCATTATGACATCCCCAAGTCCTGTATAGTGACATCATAGTGACCCACCCCCACCCCCCAAGGCTCAGCCTCTGTGGTGCTACAGATGCAGAAAACATAACTATCCATAATTCCTTGTGAGGGACCCCATGGAGGGATAATCTAGGCAGGAATTGCATTGCCAGAGATAAGCTAGAGCAGTGACTTCCAACCTTTTGGGCACCAGGGACCGGTTCCATGGAGAAAGATTTTTCCGTGGACTGAAGGGAACGTGGTTTTGCATGCTGCCTGCATCTCACGGATGGTGTTTCACTTGTTTGTGCAGTCTGGTTGCTGGCATGTTGCGGCCCAGTGCTGGTCCTTGGACCAGGGATTGGTGATCCTGGGGCTAGAGAGTTGGGGACAAAGAAGTGAGGTGAGAGGAAATCATGGATGCTCCAACACTGGAGGTTTTCAAGAAATGCTTGAGTAGCCATTTGCCTGGAATGAGGATTCTTACACTGGGCAGTGGTTGGACTAGATGACCTCTAAGAGCCCTTCCAACTTTAGGATTTGAAGGGAAGTCTACTACAATAGATCTTCAGCATCTGGCCTCCCTTAAGTCCACCAAGACGAGAAACCTTGAAACATTTTGCCATCTTGTAGGCAGTTCCTCAACTTACAATGAGTTGCTTAGAGCGACCAAAGTTATAATGGACCTTCCAGTGGTGGGTTTCAAAAATTTTTACTACCGGTTCTGTGGGTGTGTCTTGGTGGGCGTGGCATGGCATGGTGGGCATGGCAGGGGAAGGATACTGTAAAATCTTCATTCCTACCCCACTCCAGGGGAAGGATACGGCAAAATCCCCATTCCCTCCCCATTCCTGGGGAAGGATATTGCAAAATCTCCATTCCCATCCCACTCTGGGGCCAGCCAGAGGTGGTATTTGCCTGTTCTCCAAACTACTCAAAATTTCCGCTGCCGGTTCTCCAGAACTGGTCAGAACCTGCTGAAACCCACTTCTGGGACCTTCCCAGAGCTACTTATGACCCGGGTCCAAAGCTCTGATGGACACTGTAGTCATATGACTGCATTTCAGGCATTTGGAAACCAGTCTGTATTTATGGGCATCTGGAGGTCATGTGAACATGATTTACATCATATTTCTTTTTGGAAACTGGCATTTACTTCTGGTTTTGGCAAAAACAGCCCGTAGCGAACAATGGATTTCGCTTAACGACTGTGGCTAAATGGCCACAGCGGTCACTTAATAACAAAAGGTAATAAAATCGGGTCCGGTCATATGATGACCCACTTTATGACCATCATGACTTATAACTGTGATGGACAGGCTCCATTACGGTTGTAAATCGAAGACTACCTGTATCCAAGAATATCTCTCTAGATTTGACAAATTCTGTTCTCCCAAATCCTGGAATTCTCCTCCCTCATTAAGTCACCCAATAAGTGGTGTGCATTCACTTTTTGTCTGAGGAAGAGGGATTTAGTTCTCTCCTTGCATAGGAATCAAATCCATTTTCAGTGGGAATTATGAAATAGAATAGAATAGCAGAGTTGGAAGGGACCTTATAGGTCATCTAGTCTAACCCCTCCTGCCCAAGCAGTAGACCCTACACCAGTGGTGGGATTCAAGTAATTTAACAACTGGTTCTCTGCCCTAATGATTTCTTCCAACAACCAGTTTGCCAAACTGTTCAGAAAGTTAACAACCGGTTCTCCTGAAGTGGTGCGAATTGGCTGAATCCCACCACTGCCCTACACCATTTCTGACAGAAGCCAGTCCAGTCTCTTCTTGAAAGCCTCCAGTGATGAAGCTCCCACAACTTCTGAAGATGAATCTCTTTCCAGAGTTCATTTTATATCCTGTGGGTTGTTTCTTCTCCTTTTTATTCATTGTTTTAAGTGAATAAAAGCTTTGTCAGGGAATTGCGCAGCCGGTGTCCAAATGAAGTCCGAGAGTCCTAGGCTTGCCAGGTGTCCACTATTTGAGCGGACAGTCCGCTTTTTTCACATTATGTTCACTATTTTTTTTCACAAAATAGTGGACATTTTTTTTTATTCAAAAGCTTTATGATGAAATGGTACATAATCTAAAGCTGTACAGTCTAAGAGAATAAGGATAGGAGAATCGCGTTTTGTCTTTTTTTTCATAAGTTAGAATGAGACAAAGATCGAATATCCATTGAACTCGATTCTCCAAAAAAATTAATGAGATTAAAATAAAAATATATTATAAAATTATGTACAGCTCACATTTTTAAAACGTATTGTAGCTTGTGTCGACTGACCTAAAATAGCGTCATACATATTATTATAATATATTTGATGTTTTGAATTTTAGATAAAGTTTTGAAGTGATTATTTTAATACGTGTTAAAATGTTTGTAAGAAAATATATAATTTAATTGTAAATTTTTTTTATTTTTTTACTACTTAACCCCTCCCCCCCGCTTGTCCGCTATTTTTTGGAAGCAGACCTGGCAACCCTATCCGAGACGCTGAAATGAACTTGTAATTTTATATAAATAAATATATTTTACGTCTATATTTGCAGCCAATAAGATAGTCAGGCACATCACTACATCGTGAGGTAAATCGTCAGGTAAATCACAGAAAAAAGCGGGAAAAAAGGGAAACTCCCCCTTTACGTCCAGCAACCAATCATCACATAGATTGCCTCATCGCCCACACTCTCCAATCAATCAACCATCAACAGTGTGTTCTGGTCCAGTTCCAGCTATTAAATTAAATACTTTAACAAGCTTTTAATTTCTATGCGGCCATATCTGCTGCAAAATCCAAAGAAGAGCAAAGGTTGTCCTCGATTTACAACCATTTCTTTTAGTGACCATTCAAAGTTACAACGGCACTGAAAAAAAGCAATTTACGACCATTTTTCACATAGGGCCACTGCAGCATCCTCATGGCCATAGGATCAAATCTTGAACACTTGGCAACTGGCTCATATTTATGACAGTCAAACAACCGTGTTAACTCACTGAACAACTGTTGCAATTCACTTAATCACTGTGGCAAGAACAATAATAAAATGTCACTTAACAACTTTTGCTTAGCAACAGAAATGTTGGGCTCAGTTGTGGTTATAAGTTGAGGACTATCTGTATTTTAAAATCTTTTTCTTCCTCTTGCCTCTTAAGCAAAAAAAAAGTTGGACTGTGTTTTCTGCCAGTACTGAGCTTCTTAAAATATGCTGAAAAAAATCTATTTTTTTTTAACCTGGAGCAAAATACTCAGGAGAGTTCTATTCAGTTTTGTCTTGCTGGGTACATAAATATTATCAAAATAACCTTTGTGTTACTTGGAGATTTTCCAAACATTGGCATGTTACAGTGTAGTTCTCAACTTACGAAGCCCTGAATTATGGTCATAAATCATTTCGGACATAAGGCATCCTTGTGACTGAAAAGAAATTTCTAGCCCTTTTCACAGCAGTCATTAAAGCAAATGTCACAGTCATTAAGTGAACTCAAGAGGTTGTTAAGCGAACCCATTCATTCGAATGGGGCATTTTTTGCTGTAAACTGGAAAAAAGTGCCAGAAAATATTGTGAATTGAAATCACATGTCCCCAGAATGCCACAACAGATCATGAAACTGATCTGACCAAAATTTGGTCACATTACTGGTGTGGGTGGCACAACAAATTATAATGTGCTTTACAAGCCATGAAGCACCCGTTCCGTGACCATCATAACTTGAAATGGTCATAAAATGACTGGCCGTTAAGTGAGGACTACCTCTAGTTATGAACGTTTCCAGGGCTGAGAAGAAATGATTGCCCTCCTCAGTGTCTCTATATACCTGTGTGTGTATGTGTGTGTTTGCCTATAAAAAAAAGGAAGGAGATATTTGGTGTAGTTTTAGTAGCTTTAAAAATCCAGGTTTTTAAAATAATAGTCAGTTCGGAGGCATACTCTCCATCCCAGGTTTTGATTGCAATGATATAGGGGACTCCAGATAGAGGACTGGAGGCTAAAACATATGAAGAACAGTTGTAGGAACTGGGTATGTCTAGTTTAATAAAGAGAAGGACTAGGGGAGACATTGTTCTGTCCCCAACCACACGCACACACACCAACAGATGTTCAAGAGTTAAAGACCAAACCAGCCGGCAAAATCCTTTTCCTTATGATAACGGAACTTGGCAACAACCTAGTGGCTGCCTGCCAAAAGTTTATTATTTACGAAGAGGAGAGATAACTTCTCCCCACTCCTGGTACATCAAAAGAAGCAGCTCAATAATTACGGAGTTAATCAAGTCCAGAGATAATCCAGCAAAGTCTATAGCAAAAAGTCCGGCAATGCAGAATGGCGTGGAAGCTTTCAGCTTTGTTTGTCACAAGGTTTGACTGGCCACCACACTCCCTTTTATATCCTGTGGGGTGTGGTCCAGTGACTCAGCCTAATCTCAGGCACGCCTTTTCTTCTGTTGCACGCGCTTATCTCTGCGACGCTGACGTGGATCCAGCCAAGACTCATTACCCTCATCACTGTCCATCTGTGGCTGCATGGACGTGCTTGGCCCCGGCCCTATCTCTTGCCCTTTGGCGGACACCGAAGACATTGCCAGAGAGGAGGGTCCTGGAGAGAGGGGAGGCCTTGCCAACTCCTCTCCTTCACTCTCGGAGTCCTCTCCTGCCGATGACACAGGCTCAGATAACGGAGCCACAACAGACATGATAGCAGTCAACCAATATCTCAGGGGCTGCCACAAAGAAGAGGGAGTCAAACTACTCTCCAAAGCACCTGAGGGCAGGACAAGAAGCAATGGGTGGAAACTAATCAAGGAGAGAAGCAATTTAGAACTAAGGAGAAATTTCCTGACAGTTAGAACAATTAATTAGTGGAACAACTTGCCTC